GCCACGACACACCATCACCGCGTGTTCCCGCCGACGGGCGAAACAGTACATCGAATGCTGTCAAAGCCTCTCTGGAGGAAATTGGCAGGACGGAGCAAGTCGCTCAGGAGGATCAGGCTTACGCAATGAGACATAAGCGCCTCGAAGAGATGAAGAAATCGATCTCTCAGAGATCGAGCTCAAGGATATCGACAACGACGAAGACTGAATCAAAGACTGTGAGCCAAGTCACCCGAAATTTGGAGGCTACTCACTCTACTTCGGAAACGTTCGAAGTCGAAGACGCCAGCGCCAACGGCAGCGTGGAGCTGGTGGAGCGATTGTCTCGATCTCTTGATGACGAAGTAGAGGTATTCAGTCCGCTACCAATCATGCCACCGAACCATACATGCTCTTGGAAGGAGAGATATCTGAATTTGACAGCGGAGGTGCGGGAGTTGAAGGCGGAAGTCGTTTCTCGAGAACGACGCGACACGCCTGGGCACGCGGACGTGGGTGTCAACGTCAGTCAGGATGATGATTACGAATTGGGAGTCGAAGGGCTCACCATTGTCATGCATCTCAGAGGCAAAGACGATTTGATCATCAACACTGACTTGACGCATGCCTCTTCCGGACTTTGAAACAAGGGTGTGTAGAAAGACTAGGATTGCTGTTTGTACGTAGCGGATGGGCAGGGCACGGGATTATGATAGAAGCATGGATTAACCGATGCGAAAACACCAATAAATTGCTTTCATTTCTATATCGTCAACCGCGGTTCTGTATTAGGAGACGTCGCTGGAAACCATTCTTCCTCGACCACCGTTGATATTCGCTGTCTATTCTTGTTCCATTCTCTTCTAATGATTTTCCCTTCCCTCCCGTTTGAATATTACATTGGTAGCGTCATGAAGCTAGCAAGCAGTTGTCTGCAGGCCGGCCGTTTTACCGTCGCTGATTCGGACTAGCGACGCCGAGGGATGGTTGTACGGGAATTAGGTAAGCACGGTACGGTACGGCAAGAAGAGTGGAGACCTCCAAAAGCTAAAAGAGACACTGAGGGGGGAAAAGAAGCCTCAAACCGACCGGCGGAGAGTAAAAAGGTCCAATTTGGGGAAGGACAGATATTCCATTTGCCGTTTCCCCGTGTCAGAATCAGAAGGAACCCAGAAGCACTCAGCGCTGGAGTAGTCGCACGAGTGGGAGGCGGAAGGAGAAGGCGGACAAGGTTTGTAAGGTTGGAAGCTGTGGGGCTCTTCCAGGGCGCGCACTGACAGCCGGACGTTGAGGTGATTTGACCTAATAGATTGGACTTTGCCATTCACACAGCGCACGCAGCCAGCGAAGACAGGACACAGTGACCTCCCCCAGTGTGTTCTTGTTCTACCTTACCTTACCTTACCTAAGGTTAGGTGGCGCCTTGAGTAACTCCAGGGCTCTAAGTACCTTTGTCACTAATGGAAGGTACCCACTAGTTAACCCCTGCTCGCTCTTCCGGAAACTACCACCGCAGAAGCAGCCACCAGCGCAGGCACAAGCACCAGTTTATTTCGAGGCCACGATTGTCAAAAGAAAGTGACTTGGTCAAAGCCAGCAGATTGCGGCCACTTCATACCCCAAACCAAGTCCCCGACCTCGACCTGGAAGAAACAATCAGCGGACGGAGGCAGACACCATTCCTTGACGGTCTCTGAATTGTTCTTCTTTTTCCCCTTTCATATCCCTTCTTGGTCTCGTCTACACTTCTTCAAGTGTACCCGCGCACGACACACTCCCGCTCTTTTAAGACCTTTTTTTAACTGGGCTGCATAGCTGTCCAGCGACGTGTCCGGATCCGCGCGCAAGACTCCCACTCGGATTTGGATCTCGACTTCACGACTGACCACCTCTCCAACACATACCATACACAGCAACCCGACACCGACACTCTAGAGCTCCAGAGCTCGTCGCTGCGCCCGTCAAGATGAGTTCCGACTACTCGTACGACGCCGAGGCGCAATTCTACCCCTTCTTCATCCTCGCCATCACCAGCATCATCACCTTGCCGCTCGGCTACACCCTCGTCTTCCCCTCCAAGGACATTGAAGCAAAGGCCCCGCGCATCCAGAGCGACTTTAAGCCCGAGCATGTCGACCTCATCGACAAGCAGCGCAAAGCGCACGAGAAGAAGCAGCGCCGCATCGTGCGCGTCATTGCCGTCCTCATCGGCCTCGCCGTCATGGCCGGCATGATCTACCTCATTATCCACACACAGAGCGTCACACAAAAGATCTGGAACCCATATGATATTCTCGGTATCTCTGACGTATGTTGACCACTTCACCTCACCGGCTGCCCGTCTCTTTCCCCCTCCATACCCCATCCACATAGTGCTGACACGCTGTTGCGTCTAGTCTGCCGACGAGAAGACAATTAAGAAGGTCTACAAACAGCTTTCAAGAAGACTGCACCCCGACAAGGTCAAGCCCGACCCGGCCAAGAACGAGACCATCGAGTCCCTCAACAACGCCTACGTCGAGATTTCAAAGGCCTACCAAGCGCTCACCGACGAGGAGATCCGCAACAACTACATCCAGTATGGACACCCCGACGGAAAGCAGAGCTTCAGCATCGGTATTGCACTCCCCCAGTTCATCATCTCGGACGGCAACGGCAAGTTCGTTGTTCTCGCCTACACACTCCTCCTCGGTGTTCTCCTGCCTTACCTGGTTGGCTCCTGGTGGTACGGAACTCAGCGCATGTCCAAGGATGGCGTGCTTCTTGAGAGCGCCAACAACCTATTCCGCGCATATGACGAGAACGTTGACGAGGGTGGCGTTGTTACTGCCCTCAGCAGTGGCAAGGAGTTCGATACTGTTCTGAAGGGCGACAAGGCCGAGTCTGGCCTCTCCAAGCTCGAGTCCAAGCTCCAGGCCAACGCCGAACAGGCTGGTGTCTCCCAAAAGGACAAGCAAGCTCTCGAGGACCTCGACAGCGGGGTGCGCCGCAAGGCTTTGGCTCTCCTGAGATCTTACCTCGGCCGTGTCGAGCTCGAGGACGCCGCCCTCGACAGCGCAAAGTACGAAGTTGCTCCCATCGCCCACGCCCTCACCCGATCCTTCTCTGCCATCGCCCAAGCGTACGGTAACACTGGTCCCATTCTGGCCGCATACTCTACCAGCCAGCACCTTATCCAGGCTCTCCCGCCCAAGGCCTCTCCTCTCCTTCAGCTTCCTCACTTCACCCAGGACATCGTTCGTCAGGTCGAGGGAGGCGACTCCAAGGTTCACATTTCCCTCCAGCAGTTCATGGATCTGCCCGATGAGCTTCGCAGAAACCTGGTGGTCCGCAACAACCTCCTTACTGAGGCCCAGTACAAGTCTGCCGTCAATGTCGCTCAACAACTGCCCCAGCTCCGCGTTGCCAAGGCCTTCTTCAAGGTTACCGGCGAGCGATTCATCATCCCCTCCTCTCTCGTTACCCTCGTTGTCAAGGGCCGCATTATCCCGCCTGGCAGCGAAAATGTGCCCGAGGTCAACGAGCTGGACCTGGAAGACATTGACCCCGCCGAAGACGACCTTGAGGCCTACCTTGGCCGCAAGAAGAAGACTATCAAGGGTCCCGACGGCAAGCCTATCCCTGTTGACGACAAGCCTATCCTGCCTCCTCTCGCCCACGCTCCTTACTTCGCCCGCGATCACGCCCCCAAGTGGTACGTTTTCTTGACCGACTCTAAGCAGGGCAAGATGGCTGTTCCCCCCTTCACCTTCACCCAGTTCGACCAGCCCATCTTTGGCGACGACGGCAAGCCCACCTTCAACATGCAAACCCTCAAGGCTCAATTCGCCGCTCCTCCCCAGGCTGGTCACTACACATTCGTTATGCACGTCGTATGCGACAGCTATGTTGGATTCGATACAAAGATGGAGGTTACGCTTGTTGTCGAGGAGGCAAACAAGGCGGCAGCAATGGTTGCCGAGGATGATATCAGTGAGCCCGATGAAGGTTAGTACTCCCTCCTCTCCCCCAAGCCGTCCTACACACTAACAGCAATCAACAGACTCGATAGCCGGTCAGATGCAGGCTCTCAAGGGCGGCAGCGTACCGGGCGCCACCAAGCCCCGCAGGAAAGATGACGATGACTCGGACGAGGAGAGTGGTACGGACGACGATGTTCAGGACGACACGAGCGAGACGAATACCGATACAGAGGATGAGTCATGAAGCAACGAGGCCTTTTGAGCCTGAGCGGGCTGGTTGGCGGGGTAGAGGAGAGCTTGATGTGTACGAAGCGATAGAAGAAGAACGTTAGTTGCACAAAAGAAACAAAAAAGTGTAAAAAAAAGACCCTCAAAATATACCCAAAGTCAGAACATCAACTACACAGGCACACTTCAGATAGGAGCGGGGGGGGGGGGGTTGCTGAGCGGATTGTGGACCAGAGGGTCGTGTTTGGTCTTCGTACATAACTGTTGTCGGCGTTGAGTTTTTGGCTTCTTCTTCTAGTGTTCACTTGTAATCAAACACTTCCGTTTGGTCTCCTTCATCTTCATCGTTTCGTCCGTCCATGACAATCGCTCTTTGTGACCACTGTAGTGAGACAGATCGACGGGGTGCGCCCACGAGTCAAAGAATGAAACTCTGCAAACACGATGGAAGTCATAAGACTGTGACATGCTTTGAAAGATGTGACATTCGTCCACGATACCAAGAAGATGGTCCTGGTGCATTGGTCACTTGCTACTGCTGCTGCCCGAATGGTCTCGCCGTACATGGTCAAACAGTCAGCCAACCCAAAACCTCCTTTCTTTTTGTAATTAAGAGAAAACGCCCTTCGCCATTTCCTTTCCCCTTCTCCTTTGCAAATGCGACAACAATTCATGTACACTTCTCTCCCTTCTCCCAAACCTCCCCAAGCATCCGGGTATCTGGTATAAAATCGCATCAAACCCGCCGCCGCCGCCCCCTTCCTTGGCTATGAAACTCCATTCGCGCCTCCCTCCAACTGAACCCGCTTCAACTGCACTTCGCAAAGAGGCTTACTCACTAAGAGCCTGGAGCGCGTGGGTGAGGGGAACGACGCGCAGAGATCGTCCGCGCTTCAGGCCTGACGCCGCCTTTTGGGGCATAATGGTCGGGCTAGACTCGTCTCGCCACTTGCGGAACACGCTCTTCAGGTCTTTGGGAATGCCTTCCAACACGACTGTCGAGATGGGGATAAAGGGCCGATCTTCCATGCCACTAGCCAGAATGGCATACTCTTGCGCAAAGTCAAGAGCGTTGCGGAAGGAGCTGTACTCGCTCTGCGCCGTCCTACCGACGATAATGTACATTTCAAAGAATGCATCCAGAACGTAGATGGAGGAAGGGTCCAGGTCAGCCTGAGTGAACGGGCTGATTTCAGTGACCTGTGGTTGTCATGGTTAGCGCTGAGCTGGAGACTAGGAACAACGTCGAGCTTACCTGCTTCGCCGCAGACGCGTCCGAGCGGAAGAGTCTTTGGCAGTACTTGTCGTAGTTGGACTTCAAACGCCAGTGGTCTGCAGAGAGCGGCTTCGTGCCGTCGTTGAAGATGGCCCAGAAGCTATCCGGCTCGCTGCCGTCCTCGATTTCTATGAGCTCGCCCATCAAGCTCAAGTCCATACCAATGAGGCGGGCGCAACTCAGCTCATCTACATCACTGCCCTTGCCCTTCCAGAGATAGCACATTCCTGACTGCGTAATCAAGAAAGGGAACCCGGAGCAGAGGCTTGCAGATGAGAAGTCGACCTCGTCAAACACAACCTGGCCAAGCGTCCGGCGACCACACAGCATGCTTGGTGCCAAGGAGTCGTACTTGGTGTTGGTACCGCGACGTGTGATGATCATACCTCCGAGCGCCATGATGAACTCGGGAGTTTCTCTGCCTTGGCGCATTTTGACGAGCTTGCCGCCAAGCGAACGAGCCTCCCGGTTGACAAACAGAGTCGTGTCTTCCACAGTTGCTGCCGGTACCTCGTCACCAGCCCAGAAATATACCTCGGTCTCCTTCCAGCCAGCCTCGTTGGAAAATGTATGAGCACAGATGTACATTTCCCGCTCGAACAAGATACGCTCGTTGTGTGATTGTACAGGCATCTTCTTCCCGTCCCCAGTAATTTGGAACAGCCTGGTGCCTTGACTTTGAATATCGCGCACCCGAGGCTTGTTCATCAACACTTCAGTGGTGTCAAGACGGTACTCCCTCTGTGGCCGTGGTGTGCCAAAGAAGTCATCCAATAGACTGGAGACCTCTGAGCTTGACTTCGTGGGGGATCGAATAGGAGATGCGACTGGTGTAGGCGAGGAAGGCTTCGGTGGGATAGGCAGGGGCCTTGTAGAGATCCTCGTGGGAGTGCCGGTCCTTTGGACTGGAGACACCGGGCTCTCAAATCGCGACTTGGCCTCCAGAGGTGGCGACCGTACCACAGCACCGCCGAACATCGATGCAGCGTTCTTGACGGACACAACAGGCTCGCTGTCAACCCTGTCGTTCGACTTTTGAGGTGAGCTGGGCCTGGACAGAGGTCGGCCAAAGGTTCTGAGAGGCGCTACGTGAGGGCTATCGAATTGCTCATTAGGCGGCGGTGACCGAACGGGAGACCTTGTGGGTGATCTGGGGGTTGGTTCGGGCAGCGGGCGTCCAAAAGTCCTGGTGGGCGCAGGAGCTTCCTCCACTTTGTCCGAGAAAGGCTTTGCAGGAGAACTTGGTTTAGGCTCGGGGAGAGGCCGCCCGAAGGTCTTGACAGGAGAGACTTCCTCGCTTCTCTGAAGTACAGGGCTAGGAGGCTTCTCAAATACTGGCTTCGGTCTGACTTCCTCCTCCGACTTTTGGGGTGGCGGGCTGAAGGGCTTCTCGAAAACGGGCTTGGGCTTGATGCTTGGCGACGAAGCCGGACTTTCTCTCTTCGGGCTGGCAACCTTGGGGCTGGTGATCTTGGGACTCTCTACCTTGGGGCTCTCCTTCGTCGGGCTGACCATCTTAGGCGGGCTGCTCATCTTGGGAGGGCTGTCCATCTTTGGGCTCTCCCTTTTGGGACTTTCAGGCTTTGGGCTCGACTGGTTGTTCTCTTCAAAGAATCTAGACATTCGCTTCATGTCCAGCTTCTTAGGTGAGGTAGGCTGAGAGGCGGGTTCGCTGGGTTTCTCCTCGACGGGCTTGATCGGGGAGGCCTGGAGCTTCATCGTAGGAGATCGGGACCTGCGCTTTGAAACGGGATCTTCCTCCTTGGCCGGGAGAACAGGCTTCTCTGGAGAGTGTTCTGCAGGCGTCTCAGCGGGAGCCTTAGAAGGGGTGCCAAAGGGCTTGAGAGGTGCTGGCCTATTCTTGGCAGCTGCTTGAGCAGCGACCTGAGCTTGAATGGACATTGGAGCCTCCTTTGCGGGGCTCTTGACGGCTGCTTCCACTACAGGCGACTCGTCCTTCGTCGGTGAGAGAGCACTTGGGCTGGGCTTAGATTCGCTTGCCACTTCTGCGCTTGGCGCAGCTGCGGAGGGAGCCTTGGAAGACGGCGCCTTTCTTCTCGGCCCACGAGCACGACCCTTAGTCATGTGTGTAAGCTGAGGTCCTGGAGCCGTAGGTTCGGCGGGCGCCCCGCTCGATTCTTCTGACTTTTCGGCATCACGCCCTCCATTGGTAGCCATGGGAGGGGGACCACGGGCCAAAAGTCCTGCGAGTGCAGGATTGAAGCGGCCCGCCAGGCCACCGGCAGCGGCACGTCCCTGAAGCCGACCAGGAGCAATGCTCTCCTTCTGAACCTCGACTGTAGGTCCAGATTCTACTGGCGACTTGATAGAAGGCGATTTGAGTGACGGCGACCTGGCAGAGGGCGATTTGACAGAAGGCGACCTGAGCGAAGCAACCGACTCATTGGAATCGTCTCTGTACGATGACTTGGGCCTCTCACTGACAGACTTTCGATGCTCGATAGCGGAGGGTGAGGTAGTATCTGATCTGCCCGAGATCGACTTGCTCAACGCATGTCTTTTCAGCAGAGCTTCTGGAACAGGGTTCTCAGATGCATTGGACTTGGTTCTAACCACGCCTTTGCCTTGCGATTGAGCAGCCTGGAAATCCTGCTTCTTCTTCAAAATCGCATCTTTGAACTCATCCTTGCGCTCGCTAGGCTTCGGCCCACCGGTCATATTCAAGGCCGCTTTGCCGCGCGAAATATTGTTCTTCAGCTCATCTGGCGCCACGTAATTCTGCGTCTTTGTCCGTCGCAAGTTGCCAAATACATTCTGCAACTCGTTGGCGGGCTCTTTGGAAGAAGAAGCATCGCCAGAGACGTTTCTTGACTTCAGGCCAGCGCGGAAATCCTTCTTGGGAGGTGTTTCAGGCTTGACTTTAGCCACAGAAGGGCTGTCAATAACCGAGGAGCGCTTTGGAATATCCACGGGCAGAGCATCTCCTTCCGGTTTGTCCTCGCCTGCCGGGCTCTTGATTGTGCTGGTGCGAAAGCTTGGGCTGCTGATGCTGCCGCCGGTCTTGTGGGTTTGCACTGGAGGTGCAAATATACCCTTGAGACCACTTACAGAGGGCTTGGACACATGGCTTCCCATCGGTGATGAACGCATCAGCCCGCCGACATTGACTTCGTGCTTCTGCGATGATACTGAGCCGCTTCGACCAAGGTCGGCACTGGGGTTGGCAGCCTTGTGAGCCTTTGCTTTGTTGAGCTCCACCATCCAAGCTGGCTGGTTTGATACCGGCGGAGGCTTAGGTTTCGGAGACTCTGGCTTGTTCAGTGCAGTTTCCAGCCAGCTTGCCTTCGTCGGGCTCCATCTCCTAGAATCCATAGTCTTCGAAGGGCTTGATGGCGGTGTCACATCCTTATTGTCCTCCTCCTTGTTATCGAGCTTGGTATCGAGCTTGACGTCGGGCTTGGCCTCAGGCTTGACTTCGGGAGGAGGTGCTGCTGCAGGTGCTTTTGGTGTAGTCTCGATCTCGTCTTGTTGTTCCTGGTTGCTATGTCGAGAAGTAGGGCGAGAGGCGGGGCGGGACAGAGACCGAGAGTGAGATGACCCCGTAGGTGTAGCAGCTCCGTCCCGCATGTACATGCTCTGCGGACGGGAGCGAGACTCAGGCCGGCTTGAAGCAGCTGAATCGGCGCGTACGAGGCCAGGGGGAGAGGTTACACTCCATCTCTTGACGCTGTCTGACCTCTTCATCATTGCGCTTTGGACGAAGCCACCCATGCCCTTGGTAGGAGAAACAGGTCGCGTGGGTGACGAGCGACCAGATCCAATGATTGACTTTCGGCGCAGCGCTGTGGGATCATTCTCGGAGATCTCGGCAGGGGGGTCGAGTCTCTGGGAGCTGCCGAGTGACAGCGGAGAGCCCAGTCTGGTGTCTTTCGTCGGGCTAGACTGCTCAGCAGACAAGTCTGTCGAAGAGCTGCGGTTCATGCCGGGGAGCTGATGGGCGCGCATTGAGGACATGTCGTTGGTATCGGTATCCTCAACCTGACTCTTGCGATTTGCAGCTGAGCCGACGCTGGCACGATCGGCCGTTTGGCGGAACCACGCGGGGTCTTTGGAACCCAGTGATTGGGAGATTTGGTCCCTAGAGAAGGTCTGCTCGGTTGCGGAGGAGGGGTCGGGAGTTGGGTTCTGCGAGGTCCTGGTCGCGTTCTCGGCGGCAACGACGGACAAGGGACGGCTCTTGGATCGATCCGAATGCTGAGAGTTGGGACGTCTCTGCCACGACAGCGGCCGCGCTCCTTGTACGCCGCCGGTAGGAGAGGTCACGCTCGATCGCTTGCTTTCGGCGTCAAAGGGGGAATCGTTCTCCTTGGTTGGAGAGGTTGAGAAGCTGTCCATGGTTTCGGGAGCTGCGATGCCTCGTGAGAGAGGGCGAGGGCTGCCTGTGTGTTCGAGACCGGGAGAAGACAGTCTTAGGTCATCGGAAAGCTGCGTCGTGTGTGTGTTACCTCGAGAGGAGGGTGGTGGGGTGTTGGCCGGGGACGATTTCTGAGGGGAAATGGATCGAGCGCGTTCTGTCAAATGTTGTCAGAGAATGCGATCCAAAGATTTTCTTCTTGTTGAAAAACACGGTCGCGCAACAAGATGGGAGAGAAGAACAGTGCCAATTGCAGAGGAAAAGTGAGCGTCGATGATTTCCCTTTAGGTCACAGGCGAAAAAACAATGGACGAAGGCCGTGTGTGGTGGTTATTGGGGGTGGGAGTCAAGGCGTTGAGGCGTCGCCCGCGGCTCGCCCAGTGCGGCGGCCGTCCCGTCAGTAGCTCAGCTCTTGGGCCAAGGGCAACCTGAACCTGAACATAGCACGGCACGAGCACGAGCAAGACGAATGGCACACGGCAAGCTGCAAAGTAGGATTTGTGCCTTGGCCGAGTCGGGAAAAGAAAGCTTGTTGAATAGGGCAGACACGGTGGTGGTAGGTAGATGATGCAGTGAGTGAGGGGAGGAGAGACAAGCAGTAGTAAGGCAAGAGGGGAAGCAAGGAGAAAGACAGCAAGATGTGTAGGTAGACAGACGTACCGGCGCGGCGAGCTTGTCGTTCTCTCTTCTCTTGCTGTATCTTTTCGTCGAGTTCGCGTTGACGGGCGTCGTCTTCTTCGGTTCGGCGAGCATTCATCTCCTTGACATCTTGCAAAAACTTGGAGACGTCGTCCATTGTTTGTTCCGACATGTTGAGGCGGAGGACAGAGTCATGACACGGTTGCGGGTGGGGGAGGAATGGAAACAGGTGGTTCTGTATGCGCAGGAATCCCCCCGGTTAGGACGTATGTCGTGGCAAGGCGAACGGGTAAGGTAGTGAGGTCTTTGTTGGAGAAGGATATGTTGTCTATTTTTTCCCTCCCTCAGTCGGTCTCGTCTTTGGTGTCTGGTCCGTCCGTGGCGGGATTAGGACAGGACAGGACAGGATGGGATGGGATAAGGTAAGGTAGGTGTGCGCAGTGCTCCGTCAGGTACGCAGGACGCAGTGCAAGGTACCTCTGGTTCGTCACCTCTTGGATGGGTGCCGCTAGGCAAATGGCGCCAAAGCAAGGTACTTGGGCCAAGGCGAGAGCGGAGCAGCCTCACAGACGTAAGGCAAGGTAGCGTAGCCCACGGTTAGGTACGGATGGGCAGGCGTGCGTCGTGGATGGAGACAAAATGGAGTCGGGTCTCTGGTCTCTCTGGCGACTTTATTGTTTGGATTGAAGAATTGCCTTTCTTACTTGGCGTAAGGTACCTTAGGTTGCTAGGTTGTGTGGTTTTGTAGGTACTGAAAACTTGTCGAATGCGTGTGGTACCCGAGTTTCTGTTGATGTGGGCGGCGACGGCGGCGGCTGAGGCTAAGGAGCATGAACCACAATCCTGGGAAATGCAGTCGGCGTGAGCAAGTAGCAGCTGTGAACGCGGCCTGCTTTCTGTCTGGACGGGATGCAAAGAGGACAATGATGTTTATCACTGGTGACCTGACTGAAGTAAGGTGCTGCAGGGTCGAAAGTAAACACAGATGACCCGAGGTGAAGGCAAGCAGGTTTCTGCGAAGGCTCCTTCCGGATGCTTACTGCGTGCTGATGCGAACAGTTGCATCCCGCGTCCAGGCTGGGCAGTCTGGGCTTGCCTCTTTTTTCTTCCTTGCCCTTGCCAATTGGGCAGGTGAACAGGCCCCCCCCAACAATAGCAGCCTGCACGTCAGGTAGCACTGGGCGCTGGGTGACTAGGCTGGTCTCTTGAAATGATTTCTTTCGATATGCCCATTGCCCACAGACAGGCGCAACTGTGCAACTTTCACCACAATTATTCCCATACACGCGGGGGCTTCAACTTGAAGTTCTTTGCCAATGTCTCAAACGATCTCAGCAAGCTGCTCGAATGGTTTCAACTCAGCTCTTCTCAGCTCAGCTAAGCTTCCCTAATGCGGCCATCTGGCCTGGCCTGGCCTTCGTAAGGTAGACGAAGAAGACCTCGAGGTGCGAATACCTACCTAAGGTAGTTGCAGGTGGATGTACACAAAGAAAGTGGAACCAAAACAACAAGGGTACGTACCTCAAGGTAGGTGAGGTGTTGCTGCGTGCATTGGCCACTCGCTTCTCCACATCGGCAACCCCTGTCTCACAATGGATATATTTCGTACCTGAGATCCCTTGCACCAAATTTCGACATTCAAGCGCCCTTACTGGCCCGATGGGGCGTTTCAATCACATCGTTTCAAACCATGATTTCCGGAGGGATGTCCCGGTATTCAAACTTCAACGGCTTGCAATCTCTCTCCTCGGTCTGCTGTAATGAATGCAATTCCCTTCCAAGCCCGACTACCTTAGGTAGTTAAGCCCGGACCCAAAAGACACCGCACAAACTTCAAAGTGCTCTAAAGAATCACAGACAATCTAACCCGGTGCTGACGTTGACGGATAGCGGCTTACCGTCAGTGTCCCCTCATTTCGTATTTCTTCTTCTCGGGCATCTTCGGACCAAGCAGTGACCCGATTTTAAGCAGAAAGGCAATCGCCCAATGGGCCACATCCACACGTGTACGGAGACAGTACTTCGTAGACGCATCACGGCCGTCATTCTCAGCCTCAAAGAATATATTGCCCATGCTATTAATACGGATAGTGGTGATCTCCTATTCAACAACGTGGCTTCGCATCTCTCGACGCTGGGTATCCCATCTAAGGTACTTGTCACTCCGTTGCACAACGTCGATCCCGACTCCCGAGAGCCGTCACAGAATCACTCGGATCCGGCCCTTCCTGGGACCGTCCTTCCAGAACACTCTGACACGCTTCACCATGCCCCCTTTTAGCCCGGCCGCCTCTATGCCCGTCCGTCTTTATCCTAGCCATTCCCAGTTTCCTAACGGCGCGCCCGGGAACTAGCTGAACGAACGTGGCCAGGACATCCTCGAATCGCTGGCTCGATGAGCCTCGAGAGCGAGTGAGGAGCCGCACCGTCGTAGTGGTGACTGGTGACCTGGCAAGAGAAGCTAATCACCAAATGCATACCTGAACTCCCCACTTGCCTCTAGTACAGGAACAGCCTCTTCTTTGCGTCGTCCACCACCCAAGCAAGGCCTTCCTTGAGGTTACTGCCTGTCATGGCACTGCATCGCAGGACGTGCCAGCGATGTGTTCTAATCGCCTCCAATTGCAGCCCCTGGATGAAATACGTCAGCTCGACTCCCCCTAGTAATGGTCCAAGATGTGGTTGTCCCGGAGCACCCAACTTGAAGAATTTCCTGCTCGTCCATGCATCCGTTGACGTCGGTCTTGTTGGCAAACACGAGCAAACTTGCTCCAGATAATCGCTGTCAATCCAAAGTTAGCACCCGACGTGGTCGTATCCACTTCCACACGTGTCGTCGTCGTCCTCCCCATCCTCGCCGTTGGCACGAACCTCTTCTTGCAGCAGGCCGTGGAGCTCCTCTCTGCAATCCTCGATTCGCAGTCGATCTGTGGCATCGACGACCCAGATCAACGCATCTGTCTTTTCAAAGTAATTCCGCCAGTATGAGCGTAGTGTCTTTTGCCCACCCACGTCCCCTGTTCTGGTCAGACTTGCCGCCAACGAAACTCAGCATCAGCCAGAGGACGTACAAATGTTTAGCTTGTATCTGGTGTATGGTTAGCACTCTTGCATAATAATGGGCTGGATAGATGTGCCGACGAACCCATCGTAGTCTATAGTCTTGATGATGAAGCCCAATGTCGGGCTTACGGTGTTGACGTCTTCGCCCATAATCTTCTTGACAATCGTAGTCTTTCCCGCATTATCGAGGCCTCTGTAGTCAGCATCAGCAAGTATGAAAGCGGCCCGTGTGGGGGTTGGCTCACTGACAGCATCAGGATTCGCATCTCCTTGTCTTTGAGACGTGCTTTTCTCAGAATGGACAACATGACGAACGGACGGGAATCCTATCCCTGGCATGCATCGACTACTGTGTTGTTTCTCGAGTATCTCAAGGTTTAGGGACTGCTCATCACGGCAAACTTCTTGTCATGTATAAGAGCTGGTGCAGTGGATAGAGGTTCATCGGCGCTGCCTGAATGGATCGGTCAACCACACGTGACCCCGCAGCATCGGTCTGGGCTCGGTGAAGTAACTACCAATAGCGCTTACCGAGCACACCGAGCGTTTGAACTACAAGCATCGCCAAATGTACATGATGGGTATTTCTCACCACGCCACAACGATATCCCAAGATGGTCATAATGATATTTCTATGCCTGATATATACATTATGATATATCAGAGGGAATCGGTCGGAGTCTCATGGACAAAAGAATGGCCTTGGTGGTCTAATACTGCGTAGGTAGAATCAATCATCAATTGCCTCACATCAGAATGAACAGAATTGCCTTCAAGAGAAAAAGTTTTCAGGCATCTCTTGAGCCCCATTTCTATCAATGGAAATGGAGCGTTCGAACGCATATATTTGGTATGAGGTAGGTGGTAAGAGGAAAGGGGCTTCCGGGAGAAGCCTGTGCCTGCCCCGAACAGGTGTGCCGCTGTACCTTCCTCCGACTTGCCTAGAAATTTCACCTTCAAAATATTTCCTACCGCACACCCCACCCACTTCCCTTCCTCTCTCCGATGTATCTCTGACCCAACTCTACCCTTTCTCACTCAAACCGCTACACACCGAAAGCTTCTTACTTCCCTTGAACTGTCCATCCTCTTCATCGACAGAAGGGGTTTTGTAATCTTTCACTAATTCCAGAGAGCCAGCTGATGTTTCAGCTATCGCTTCATCTCTACAAATCGACACCAGAAAATTCACCTTTGCTTCAGGGCGCCTTGGTTCAAATCCGACGCGCTCTCACCATACAACCTCGTTCAGATACTCCTTGACGTATCTGCGCTTCTACATCAACACTGCCGTAACAAACAACTAGGTGAGTAAATTCACTCAAAAGAAGACATAAGTGTGCTCATTTTTCTAATACCCATTCTTCGGCTAGATACAAGGCTCATTGTGTTTTGCCAAAGCACACACCGGTTACAAGATGCCAGACTCAAAGGGAGGCATTACCTCGGACAAGAAGACCGGCGGAAACGTAATCCATTTCAGCCACGCTGAAAAGAATCGTGGTAAATCACTGAATATCAGACTGTCAGCATCTGCAAAGCCTTTCATCCCAGCGAAGCGATCTGGTGAGGATGCGACTCCGTTGAGCCATGATGAGAAGGATCACGCCGAAGACCTCGATCTCAGCATTACGATCCCCAAAGGACCTGTCACCAATGAGGAGCAAACTGGTGAAGACGAAAACCAGTCTCGCCATGGTGAGAACAAGTGTGGCAAATTCGAATGCATCGACCTCACCACGTCAAATCTTGCAGACTTTATCATCTTGAAGAACCAGACTGGCAACAAAGAGAACCAGTCCATCCATGAAGAGGGAAGCCTTGGAGAGAATTTACTCCTCAAGTTCTCGAAAGAGCCCGTCAGCACCGAGAAGCGAGCTAGTGACAACAAGAGCCAGTGTAGCTACGATGAAGAGTATCATGGCGAAGGCATTTCCAGAGTGGACAGTCCTTATCCTTGGTCTTCCGTCAGCTTGTATCCCCAGGAGGCTGGCTCAGCTCGGTTCACGTTCTATCCTCCCAGCCCAGCCGTGGCTGTGAGTAGCGCCAATGGAAAGGCCCAGGCAGCGGCTCTTTCCTCAAGCAGCCCTTCTGGAAAGCTCACTCAGCCGATCGAAGGATCGACTTCTATTCGATGGGTCATGAATCTTCCGGTCCCCCAGAGAAGGCTGACACCTCCTGCCTTCTTGAATAACCCCACTTCCAGCCCTGGAGCTCGGCGAATTTCTTTTGAATTCAACACCCGCAGAGCCCCTGGTGGAGATATTTACAATGCTGGCTTAGAGAACGCTGACTACGATTACCTCGCCGAGCGCCGAGCCTACGTTGCAAGAAGTTTTGAGAGAACCCGGAGGCAGAGAGAGGCAAAGATTGCTGCTCAGCGTTCGAAGATCCAATCCGACGCCGACGACGACGAAAACGATACGATGGCCTCTACCCTTCGGATGCCGAGCGACTACATTCCTCCCCATAAGAGACTCGCCAAGATCAAGGCCAAGGCTGGAGCAAAAGTCGAGTCCAAGATCGAAGACCCAGTTACCGAAAGTCAGGGGCCAGCCACGACTACTAGCTACTACGCAGAGTCGGATACCGCATCTTCAACAGATGATGCTAGCTCGCGCGTTGCTCTTTCGGGCACATTGAATAAGTCCGCGCCCCTGACACCCATGGCTCTAGAGAATCTTCCGGAGAGAATGGGCGTCACTACCAAATCGAAGAAGAGCCACTCGTCCTGGGATGTGAGCAATAATGGCAGAGCTTCATCGGGTCAGGACAGAGAGGATTCCAACGGAGTCGCTCGATCCGAGACGAAAGTCACTGGCACGTCATCTTTTATAACTTGGCTTTATACTCTGGATGGCCCGCTCGTCACTTCCTTCCTCGACGAGAATCAGGATCATCACCACCACGATGTCAGCACCGACACTGGAAAGCTCATCGACCGCATCGAGCAGCCGCCCACAAAAGCCGACATCATGGACGAGAAGAACATGACACCCGAGATGATTCAACGTCGCCGCGAATGGACCAGTAACCTGCTCGTTCATCGCGAGATCATGGTTCGACAGAACATGGCCATTCGTCAACGTCTGCAGGAGGAGGAACGGGCCCACCACGAAATGGCCATTCTTCGGGATCGTGACTACAAGAAAGATGCTGCGTCGCCCACGAAGATGAAAACCGTAGTGGCGCCTACCTTGGACGAAAGCAGCCGTCTAGCAGACTGCGTCCTTCGTCCTGCCCAGCCTTCAGATGCCGGAGCTTGTACCGAGATGTACAACGTGGCTGTCGGTAAGGATCCTCTGGTGACAGATACCTATCCGGTGTCTGTTGAGCGGTTCGAGTACATCATGATCGAGTGCAAGAGACAAAAGCTTCCATTCATCGTTGCGACAACTAAGACGACTGACTTGAAAGACCCCGGCAACTGGCCGTCTCGCGATGCTTACCGACAGTATATGAAGTGGATGCAGTCACAGCCTGTGAAGGTGTCGTCCCCTGAGACTACTGTCTACGGATTCGCCTACCTCCGTCCGTACGAGACAGGTATTGGAGGACTCACCGGCAACGCGACCCCGACTGTCAAGGCTACAATCTTTGTTCATCCTGAGCATCGACGTGGTCGGATCGGAAGTGCCCTTCTTCATCAACTCCTCAGTCAAGTTTCCATCTTGTACCACGGCTTTGTCGAGTGCCAGTGGGCTGATCCGAAAGCTGGAGAGGACGCGTTCTACAAGCCCGACTTCCGGAACATTCATCGTAAGTAGTCGGATGTGAAAGGTATCTCGGATTCGATAGCTAATGGGCTTTGCTAGGTGTTGTTGTACACACGATGGCCCAGAGCGAGGGCGGACAGGGCCTCAAGTGGATGGACGACTTCATGTCGTCTTTCCAGTTCGAAAAGGCCGGTCGTCTGAACCAGGTTTACAAGGTGAAGGCACCCCACGGTGCCGATTGGTACGACCAGGTCATCTGGCAGCACTGGGCCAACAAGATCCCCTGCAAAACTTTCTACGTGGCAGACGACTCCGAGTGCTCCTACGACTACCCTGGAAAGCGCCATTCGCCTGGTGCCCGAAGAGCCAAGTCTCCCGATGCTCCCGAGGATCAGCAGCACGACGATGGTAGCTATGACAGCGACAGCGACGATATCTTCGGAGCCTAAGCATTGCTGAGCAAGGCCACATCCTGACATCATGCGCTCAAGTATCAGTGGCTTCTTGCAGACTGATCACAATCGAACGAAGACCCGATGTTGGTTGTTTCGATCGATAATGGCACTTTTGGAGGTTAGTAGTTAACGGCACTTAGCTTTACGAGACCAGTCCAAGCTGACATTTTAAAAGACAGAATCAGTCACCGAAACAGAGCCAAACTCAACAGATTGCCAAAAACAATTCCCGAACTTCCCCTATTGCACGACCCGTCTTCGAAGTCAAGAAGAAAGCTTTGGACACCGACGTCTCGTGGCTTTGCAACAATGATCCGAACTAGCAGCTTCACTCGGCAGCTTCATATCGGCATCTGACAGCAACGCGCACACGACGTCGGCGTCCGAGAGCTCTTCACTGGCTTTCCATTTGCTCTTTTTCTTTCAGTCTTGTTTCGCACCTCCCGTCATAAAAAAAACCCCTTCCCTAAATGGATGTCAGAGTACACACCTTCTTCACGCCTTGACAAACACAAGGTTTCTTCTTCTACCCAGGCTTTTTCTCGACAGCCATGTTTTCGGAGATCAATAGGATCTCATGGAAGACGTGCCGGCGACCGTGGACCATACCTTACTGATCTTGGGGACACAAGACTCGTTGTCTCTCAGTGGATACTTGCTATGGGCATAGCCATGGACATTAGGATGTTCTCTTCTCGGACAGGAAGTGGTCACGAAGACGAGAGAGACAAGTGGAGGAGGAAAGGAATGCCCCAGAATGCGCAAGGACCGGTCTTGTCTTGCTTTTTCTTTTTTTTCTCTTTCTTTTGTGTTTCCTACCCTTAATACTGTAACGGTAGATAGCTCACTCAATCTTGTTCATCAAATCATGTGCCTACTCTCCCAAGCTCGTGATGTTCGTGCCTTGCTTTAAGTTGGCAACCATATCTTGAACGAACCGTGTACTGCGTTTTCAACTATTCTTGAAAATGAAACTCCATTGAACATACCATGTTTGTAGCAAGTCTACAAACTAAAATGCCTACCTACCTTGACCCCATCACCACCGTCGGAGATTAGCCCAACTATACGAATCATCCGGATAAATCGTCGACGCCTCACTCAAAGGCGGCCGTCTCCCCACCGTCGCGACGCTGC